CCGATTTTGGAACCGAAAGCTGAGGTTATCCGCTCGCTTATCCTCAAACATACCCGGGTTGGGTATGTCACATAACCTGCTTTTTGGAATACCCCCCAGGAGTGTTAGGGGAAGTGCAGTTTCTGTAGTGCAGTGTGTTATTGTTTACGCGCAGGGAGGGAGCGAGCGACAGAAAAAAGGGAGGAGCCGCTGGGATTCGTGACGTCAGCCTGGAATGAGGGAGTGAATGTTCCGGGTCAGAAACTGGACTAAGAGGAAATAAACTCCGGGATCAGAAAAACACGAAATAGATATGTAACCGCTTACAAAGAAAGACACGGGACACTTCTCAGCCTTGCAATAAAAAAAGATGTTGCGAGAAAGGTGAAAAAGCGGAAGGAAAAACTCCAGGGATCAAAGCAGAAGTGGAGCGCGACGTTTTTATTCCATGTTTCAGTGCGCGATACATTTGCGTTGGAGATCGATAGATTTGTATCCGACACCAGTTGCTTTGGCGCTCTTTCGCCGTTCCTAGTTTCTCCCGCTTGTTTGTTTTAGTTTGGATTGCTGTGGTAACTTTTCCCGCAGTACGGATTTATCTAGGGTTAGGATCACCATCCCGTGATGTTTCACTGTATCCCCCTGTGGCGGTGCAACCGTCACATCGAGTCGATCGATAAGCGCCACTGCTCGCTGCTCTTCGTCCCGGATGAGATCTATCGCTGCAGAGCGAGTTTGGAAGAGCTTTTACTGGACGCCAACCAGCTCCGGGATTTGCCCAAGGTAAGAAGACACCAGCCTGTACTGGGACCATTGTTGCTAGAAAAGACTTTTCTCAAATGGATGAATGAGAAGTATTATGGGCCGCGTCTCAAATCCTAATACGCGGTCTACTCGTTCAGCATTTGTGCGTAGGCCAGCTTCGAGTCAGCAGCAGTTTGAGGCAGGAGAGCTGAGAGCCGTTCAGAAGTGTGGGGCATCATGGGTGCACTGTGGGGCCTCGTAGGCGTGTTGGAAGTAATTCAGCATTTTTTAGGCTCATGTAGACATACTCAAGAGTCAGCAGCAGTTTTGGCCATCAGGTGTGTTGCAAATCAGCAGCAGTATTGGTGGTATTATAGGCATACTTCCAGTCAGCAGCGTTTTTTGGGCATCATAGGCATAATACAAGGCTGCGTGATAGGCATGTTCAGATTTCTCTGCAGTTTTGGTCATCTTTCAGCATTGTTGGTAGTATAGGCTTTGTTAGAATCTGAATCATTTTGGACTTTGTAGACCGAGCTGTACACATAACACTCCTATGATGCCAAAATGCTATGTTTTATGATCCTGTGACTCCCTAAAGTGCAGTCTAGTTAGGTAGCTCACTAGGATTTGAAATGCAACCACTGTCATTGTGCAGATGGCAGAGAGCACTAGAACTCAGCAAAATGTGGTTGAGAAAAACATTGTGACAATGGCAGGTACCAGTGGGCTCTTCCTCCGTCACACAATGGTGTAGCGGTTAAATATTTGGACAGAGAGCTGAAAGGTTCAAACCCACATGAAATGATCCATGAACTGTCACCATGAACAAAACGCTTAACCCTATATGATCCAGACTGACATGTTGTGTACTGCATTAGTATGCAATATGACATGAATGGGCCACGTAGAGCTTTTCTCGAAATTGTAGTAGTGACAATTTTCAACTGTAGCCACTTTTGCCTTAGTGACCCTTCAGAGCACAGACTCATGCATGAAGCAGCAGAGAGCACCACCTTCAGGAGAACGTCTGATTGGTGGAGAGGACTAGCGGGAAACTTTTCAGGCTAACGCTGATTTAAAGGCTCCTAACCATGATGCTTTACTGACACAGGACAACTTCCTCTGCCTCTCGCTGCAGCGCATCCATTTAAAAAGCCTTTTGCCTCTCATTTGCTTGAATCACACTTGTATGTAACCTTGTGTAACCTGTACCACAATAACATTGAAGAAGAACTCTCTCAGAACAGTGGACAGTGGAGGGCTTTTATAACTTTGTCAGCGAGTTTGTAAAGAGCACACGTTTGCTTTGCTCCCCGTGCGTGCACAGCAGTAAATCCTGCATGTAAATCCAGCACTGATGGACTGACCACCAGCATTGCTTGCAGTAATTCTTTGGCATGTAATGAATTAAAGGGTTAGTTCACCCAAAAATGAAAATTAGCCCACAAATTACTCACCCTCAAGTCATCCTAGGTGTATATGACTTTCTTCTTTCAGACGAATCCAGTCGGAGTTATATTAAAAATCGTCTTTGATCTTTCAAGCTGTTTAATGCCACTCAGCGGGTGTTGCATTGAAGATTTAGTCGCATATGCAAGTGATTTACTCGCAATGTAGAGGGCTGATTGTCAAATAAAAATAATGAAGATGACAAATAATCTAACTACAAGCAACAGCACAAATAAATACAATAGAGCAAAGATACAAATAAAATAAACAGTGCTTTTCAGGTTTTTTAGGTAGGTCTAACATTACTTTATTCAATTTCTGTACCTAAAAACTAATCAAATGTAAAATAACATTGCATATTTGACTGTATAAATTAAAGATTAATCCTTATTAAAGTTACAAAAGTTATTCAATCAAGAACAGTGAGTGATTCCCGTGTTGTTGCTGTTTGATTAACATTAAGAAAGTGCTGTCACTTTAAGAGAACGCACTGATCCAGTGCACTGATACTGTATGTTCAGCCGACTATGTCTGCTAGGATACTCACCAAGACGGGCATTTTGACATATTTTTTGAGTGAATTTGTCCATTCAAACACAATGCTTCAAAGAGAGCTTAATATTTGCTCACGTTCTGAGACGCGGGTTCACGCGCTTCGGATGAGCGCACACAGAGATCTTCTCACTGCGCGGGTGAGTTCGCATCTTCTGGCTCTTTAATATTTAAACTGGCAAGGCAGGGTTGTGACGGTGAGGACATTTTCCCACTGGTTAATCGACGTGTGACAACACCGGTAATACATCACCGTGGGGGCGGGGACGGGGCGTTCCCTCTTTTCCTCGCTTTCCTTCGCTTTTAAATAGCTTGTAAAAGCGGCGTGCGCATTTTACTTTCACTTTGAAATAGCGGCAATTCGGAGTAAAGCAATTGTTCGTTTGAATTTTCCCTCTTTTCCTCGCTTTCCGTCGCTTTTAAATAGGTTAAAAGCGCCGTGCTCATTTTAATGGCAAGGCTTAAATGAGTTTAGTTTAAACACAGATAGCAACGTGTGCTGTTCAGGTCTCACCTGCGCTATCAACACGTGATGACGGCATAAATGACAGTTATTCCAGCATAAAGCACTCGCATTGATTAAAGAGTGACTGGTTTGTCCACATATTGTTTTTTTTTTTCTTGTTGTAATGTATTGGGAAGCCAGAATTTGTATCCATCAACAGAAACATGCATTAGCCGAACTCTAACAAACCATATTACAGATGCATTGTCAGATTTAAGTTGAACCGCGATCCTAGTGCATGCCGAACCGTGTGTGGAGAACGGTACGGTTTGATTTTTTTACCGAGAACCGTTGCTAACCCTTTAAATCTCCCAGATCACGGATGCATTAAAGTGCTGTGCCCAGCAACCACAGTGCATCTCTTTCTAAGGCACTAAAACATTCAAGACCATCGTATCGTACACCTGTGTGTGTCTTCTTGAAAGAATAATCCTATTTTAGTGAATTCCAGGATATTTTAATCAAAAGTGTCTTTGAAATCAGACAGCAAGTCCTTGAGATGGTTTCGTCAAAAAATTTAATGTAAAATTAAGTCAGGTATGAACAATGCTCTTTCACACAAGAAGCCAAAGGAAAATAAGGTAATAGAGAATCCAAACAACTTTTGTAGCTCACAGTTTGTCGATTTTGTTAAATATTAAATTATATTTTTGTTGAATATTAAATTAATAATTAAAGTTTAAACATCATTTGTAAAATAAAACTTAAATATTTCGAGTATAAGGCCTGAAGGTGACCAGTTTAGGTATTTTTCCCTTAAGAAATATCAAAATGGATAACTTATCAAAGGTATCTGTCCTATTAATAGCATTGGTCTCCACAGTTTTTGTATAAGTCTTTGCTGGGATAAAAAAAGTTGAAGCTGTGTTTTATTATGGACATGTGGAAACGTGAAACGCCAGTAAATTGGCCACGTATCAGGCTTTCTCCTTAAGGGCTGAGTGGTTGAACGGAGTGCATTCCAGTTTTTAACCATTTATTGTAAGAAGCTACAGTAACTATTGAATTCAGTTATTCGTGTCTGAGCATGTTCATCTTTGATTTTCAGTGGCTCAGAAATCTATTGTCCAATTAATACTTTTAATGGAAACTACTTTTAGTTTAACTTTAGTTGTGCACAGTTCATGAACATTCTGTGTGCATTTCCTTGCTTTCAGGTTTTTCACAATAGGAGAAACTTTGAATAATGCTCTTGTTGAGCTGCTCTTTTCCGAGCATATAATAAATGAAGCTTTCACTGAAGCAAGACGATTTAAGACACCATGAAAATATCATAAAAAGTAGTCCACACAATACATGTGCAGTATCCTAAGTCTTCTGAAGGCGCATTATAATTTTGTGTGAGAAACCGATGGAAATTGAAGTTGAACATTTTGACATATTTATCCAGTTCCTGATAAAAGCAGTGATTGGGGTGGGCGATATGGGAAAAATTGATAACTTTTTTGGGGGGCAGGATCACAATCTTATCACAGTCCTTTTTATGTTTTTTTTAGACAATAATTTAGACAAAATGATTTCCCCATTTCAAAAATAAAGCTCTTCAACGTAACGAAACATAAAAGGAAAAAGAATGGCGTATCATTCAGGCCAACATGCTCTTAGCAGTATCCAATTGCTTAATGAATCATTAATTTTGGTGTTGGATCTTTATAATAAATCAGTTGATCAACTTCACAAAAGTTATTCTTGATCCAGTTCTGGAGTTTAACCCAGTGACTTGGTAATTTATGGTCAACAGTTCATTGGAGGGGGAGATTATCGAGATAAATCGAAATAGAATCGAGATCGCGATTCGACAGAAGCTGCGATTGTCATGCGTATCTTTCAGTGAAGCACGGTTCTGTGATCAGCAGTAAATCTCCATCCGAAGGCCAGAGGGCGCTCTCGCGCTGAATCTCCAAATACGCCTCGCAGAACAAACTCAGAAAATGCCTATCGCTGCAGCTGAATAAACAGAAGAATCAACTGCTTTCATTGATTACGGCTATGTGTAGTAAATTCTGCTCCATCTGAAAGCATGTGAGGATTGCCTGCTGATTACAGAACCGGCTTTACTAACAAAATGCGCATGACAATCGCATTCGATTAATCGTGCAGCCCTAGGGGAGATGATCAGTGAGTAAGCTTTTGAACACTTTTTGGCAGTTGCAGTTTATGCATCTTTTCTGCAAAGATATTTAACAAGTGATTTGTTTAACATTTACATCATGTTGACAATGTCATGTGTGCTGCACTTGGAATAGAATTTTCTTTAACTAGAGGGTTAGTAAAGAAAA